TGTACTTTACTAATTTATTTCATTCTTTTAGTTAGTTTTTATTGTTTTTTATTATTTTTTATTTTTTTGTTTTAAATATGGTTTTACATTGTGTTAGCTGCCTCGAGTCGCCATGAGTGAATAGGCAGTAATATAAATTAAATAAATAAATACCCTGTTTCTCCAACAATACAGCCTCCCCCAATAGGAAGTCCCAGCATGTTTTATAGGCATGAAATGAAATTAAGCCCCTCCCCCCCATATTAAGGCCTATATTAAAACATGCGAAATGAGGGGGAATGGTGGGGGGGCTTGCCGTTAGGAAGTACTTTTGTTGCACGCCCGGATATGGTGCTGCCTGCGTTGACCCCGATACGAAGTGCCCCACCAACACCGAGGTCAACCTCCAAGCCGTCGCTGCCCGCCCGCCTGAAGATGCAAGGGGGGGGGGGAAATTAAGTCATCCCCAAAAAGACGGCCTAGCCATTTTTTCAGGGCTCAAAAAAAAAAGAAAGACCCGGCCTTATTATATGGGAAACACGGTAAATAAATAAACAGAATGGTGGTAAGTCAAGAGCAACCCTACCTGTTGTAGGGTTTATCTAGTTAATATTCTGAGTTGTTTTTAGAGCTTGATAATATCGGATTTGCTGTTTCAACAGGCTAACCTTCTTATGCTTTCTTTAAAGGTCTTTAATTGGGAAGAGGAGAGGACACACCAAATAAAACAGACTCCAGGCAAAACTTTGAGCCTTATGGGAAGATCAATCTGGGCCTACCTTACTCTTTGCTAACACCCGGTATGCTAAAGTTTTGGTTCTCCATCTTCCTTTCTTGTTTTGTTTTGGCAGAGGGGCCATCTTTCAGAATACAGGTAATCCTTGGCTTACGGCCAAAACTGAACCCAAAATTTCCATTGCTAAGTGAAACATTGGTTAAGTGAATTTTGCCCCCATTTTATGAGACGTTAATGTAGACCGCTACACTTATTATTATTAAGTTAGTAACATGGATGTTAAGTGAATCTGCCTTTTTCCACTGAAGGTCGCAAAAGGGGATCACAGGACCCCAGGACTCTGCAACTGTCATAAATATAAGTCAGTTGCCAAGCGTCTGAATTTTGTTCAGGTGACCTGCAGTGGTCGTAAGTGTGAAAAATGGTAGTAAGTCCCTTTTGTCAGTGACGTAACTTTGAACGGTCTCTAAATGAATTGTTATAAGTCAAGGACTACCTGCAAGCACAGCTTGTGTTGTGATTCTTCCTTGCCTGACGTTGGTCGTCAAGCATCCTGGTGGATTGTGAGGTGTCTTGCCATTCCTGGCATTCCTGACATATGAAGAACGGTTGCAGGAACTGGGTGTGTCTAGTCTAGTGAAGAGGAGGACTAGGGGAGACATGATAGCAGTCTTCCAATATCTCAGGGGCTGCCACAAGGAAGAGGGAGTCAAGCTATTCTCCAAAGCACCTGAGGGCAGGACAAGAAGCTATGGGTGGAAACTAATCAAGGAGAGAAGCAACCTAGAACTAAGGAAGAATTTCCTGACAGTCAGAACAATTAACCAGTGAAACAACTTGCCTCCAGAAGTTGTGAATGCTCCAACACTGGAAGTTTTTATGTTGGATAACCACTTGTCTGAAGTGGTGTAGTAGGATTTCCTGCCTAGGCAGGTGGTTGGACTAGAAGACCTCCAAGATCCCTTCCAACTATTCTATTCTATTCTACTCTACTCTACTCTACTCTACTCTACTCTACTCTATTCTACTCTACTCTACTCTACTCTACTCTGTCTGATAGCTGAATTCTTGTTTTTTTTGTTTTTCTTCCAGCCTCAGCTTCGATGGATACTTTTCCCTTTACGATAGGAGAAGCCATCTGTTTGGGGTCAAGCTTGGCCTTCTCAAGCCTCTTTTATTACCTGCACAGGAAGAAGGCCAAGGTGGTGTCCAAAATCCAGGTGTGACATTTATGTATTGTTCTAGTTAAAGCCGTGTTTTTCAAACTTGGCAGTCTTAAGAGCTGTGGGCTCCAGCGCCCAGAAGTCCCCAGCCAGTATGCTGAAAGTTGAAGCCCACCTGTCTAAGGGGTTGCCAAGTTTGGAAAATATTGTTCTAAAGGATTTTATAATGTGTTTATTGATTTATTTAAAGAATTGTTCTTAAGCGTTGCGACTTCAGGCAGAGGCCATAAGCAAAGCCCTCAAAACAATATAAAAATCCCACTTAAGATCCATCCAGGTATTGTATAATTGTCTTTCCCTTGCTCTTGAGAAAGCAAGAATGGTATTTATAATATATTTATATTTCACAGCCTTTTAATTGTTGCTCTGATAAAAAGTATAACGTTTTGTAACATCAGCGTTATCTTGCATCCATAAGTTGGATTCTGGTATGCTAAGCTATTATGGTTGTTCAGCCATAGTTATGAAATCCCACCGGTGTAAACGTTTTTAAGCCAAAAATCAGTATTATTACTGAGCACAATGGAAGAATACAGCTGCACACACTCTTCTTGCTATGTCTTTGGATGGGAGAGGGAATTTATTTATTTATTAGATTTTTATCCCAGCTTTATTACCTTATAAGTAACTCAAGGTGGCAAACATAAATAATAAATAACATTCCTTCCTTGCCTGTTCTCCCCACAAGAACAACTTTTTGAGGTGGGTTGGGCTGAGGGAGAATGACTAGGCCCCATGTCACCCAGCCAGCTTTCATATCTGAGGCAGGACTAAAACTCATAGCCTCCTGGTGATTGGCTCAAACTTATCCATTTGGTTTTCATGCCTAAGGCAGGACTAGAACTCACTCTCTCCTGGTGATTGGCCCAATATCACTAGCCAACTTTCATGCCTAAGTGGGGACTAGAAGTCACAGTCTCCTGGTGATTGGCTGAAAGTCCACCTAGCCAGTTTAGCTGCCTAAGGCAGGACTAGAACTGATAGTCTCCTGGTGATTGGCCCCAAGTTACCCAGATACCTTTCATGCCTCAGAAAGATCTATAATTCACTGTCTCCTGGGTTTCTAAGTCTAACCACTTCACCAGAGTAGCTCTCGGTCCTCATTACTTGAGCTGGATTATTCTTAATTCAGAACAGGCAAAATGAAACAGCTTCATGCAATGAGCAATTCTAGTCATTCGCCCATGACTGTGTCAGTTGCTAAACAAATGGGTGTTTCATCTGATGTACAATCGCAGTGCTTACGTTCATATAAGACAGTGATTTGTGAGTTTCCTTGGTAAATATGTGAATAAGCAAGTGTTTGAGATTCCAAGTCACCTTGATTCTATACAGGTTCTGGTACTGCCTCTTTTATTTATATTTCCCTCTCATGTTCTTGCAGGGGGCTCCAAAGCTCCAGGTCGGTTCAAATCTTCCCAGCATTCTGTCTGCCGCAGGTAGCGACTGCCTCCCCTATGTTGTCATTGAAGGTAAGAAATTCAGCAAACAGGATCACCAAGATTTGAACAGGGAAAATTCATCATGCCAATTTCCCAGTCCCTTCCTTTTCCATTTATCATTGTGAATCTGGCACCAGTTATCCTTCCTAAATGCCCGCCAAGGAATGAACAAGAATCTGCAATGGGAAAATACCATTCATTGTTAAAATAGCTCATTGTTCTGTTGCGATTCAGAGCTGCCTTCTTCGATTCGGAGCTGCCTTCTTCGAGACAGGCAAACTTGCAACTGAAAAGAAAGCCATCAGCTTACTATATACCTGCCCTGAAGTGGAATGCTTTTCCCCCTTCCTCTCTTGTCTCTGTTTCATTTTTGGTTTCAGAGTTATTAGAATTTAAAATGTAGGTAGCTTGGGCATGGTAAAAGATGAACAGTAAAGGCGTTTGGAGAGAACTTGTCAAGATCTTCAAAAGGAAGCCATGACTTTTGTAGAACTTGGTGGCGAGCGCTTGACTTCTTCCTTAACTACAGGTAATTGTCAACCCTGAAGCTGACCGGGCTGAAGCCATCTTGGAGCTTGAGTGTTGCTACACTGGAGCGAAGGATAGGAAGGGGAGCGGGATTAGAAATAGCTGGGCTTGTGTAGTCAAAATAAAATACTTTCTCGTAACTTTCTTCTGGGAACCAAGGACTGTCAGTGTTCTAGCAACCCTCCACTCCAACCAATAACTCTGAGGCAGGCATCTTCTCAAAGAGTTCTTTTTATTTGGATAGTAAACCGGCACAATTGGGGAATCCCGAATCTGAAAGTTCCGGGCTTCCTTGCAATAAGTAAAAACTACAAATCCGTCCCCTGCACCCATCATCACATCACATGCCCCAATCACCATCCGTCCCAATTTAAGACTTCCCCTCACCCAGGTGCAAAAATAACATGACCTTGACTTAGAAAAAAAAGAATATTATTATGTCTAACTACATAAACTCCAAGAAATTCCCCCCTCTCACTTTCCCAGGCTCAAAATGTGGCAGTGTGGGAGCATCTGGTCTCAAGATGGCTTCCAAAGCTGACAGACATTCTCGGGCCTGGCCGAGAGGAGGAGGAGGAGTGATGTCTGTTGAGGTAATTCCCCGTTAGGAGAATGAGTGCATACAGGGAGACGTATTTGAGAGTAGTGTTTGAATAATACACACACAGTACACAGATACACTGTACAGTAAATGTAGGTTTTTACTTCCAGAAAGGTTTAAGCAAAGTCCAGAATAGGCAGTCCAAAAGTCATTCACAAGTAAATCAGTCAGTTTTTAAATCCAGGGATAATTCAAATATCAAAGTCCACTGTGAAAAAACAGTTCAGTATCAGACTTACATTAAATCCAGAAATAGCAGTCAGTTAGGAAAAATGGAGCAACGGCAATACTTTCCAACAGAAGGAAACAGAGACGGAGACACACTCTCTTCTGAGATTAAGACTAAAACTAAAACAACCCAGGTTTCTGGCTCCATCTTATGGCCGTTTGAGTAACCACACCCAATTGCAGTTTTTAGCATGCTCTTAAAGAGACAGAATTAAAATGTTTATCCTGGTTTATATATTTCTAACCCAAATACCTGTTAGGTG